TTATCTTTGTATATTATGTGCCATTTGTGTACATTATCATTTTGGGACGTGTATGTTTAAAGTTGTCGACGGACTTTATGATTGTACCTGTACCAATATTACATAGAGTATATTATATGTGGGTGTTACATCAATATCATTTTGTAACAAATAGTCCCAAAAATATGTCTATAAATTTACCTTTTTAATAACTATTACATGCTATGGAAATAGAACATGAGACATAATTTATGTTAAAAGATAATTTATGCTTGAAACTTGTTAAGAGTCCCACATCGGACAATATATGGCATGAACATGTGTTTATAAGTGGGGGCAATCCTCACTCTACCAACCGGTTTTGTAGGGTTGAGTTAGGCCCAACCACATTTCTTAACATGGTATCAAGAACCTCGTTTAAGATCCGGTGGGCCACCTTCTATGGTTTCCGCTATCAGGCCACCCACCATTTATTTCCACGCTTCAGTTGTCCAGTCCTGAGCGTGAGGGGGTGTGTTAAGAGTCCCACATCGGACAATATATGACATGAACATGTGTTTATAAGTGGGGGCAATCCTCACTCTACCAACCGGTTTTGTAGGGTTGAGTTAGGCCCAAGAGTCGCAGCTATCCGTTATAGGGCTGATCCTGACACAGATGAAGTGTATGCAAAACTCAGCCTTGTTCCTCTGCAGATTAGTGAGGCTAATTTTGATGATGACGATGGTGCTGGCATCGATAACATGTCTGAAACTAATAATAGATATCGGTCTTACACGAAAACCTTGACACAATCTGATGCAAACAATGGTGGTGGATTCTCTTGTCCTAAGTATTATGCCGAATCGCTTTTTCCTCCATTAGACTATTCAGGTATGGTTCCTTCTCAAGATATTTATCCCATGAATGTGCATGGAGAAACATGAAGATTCAGACATGCTTACAGAGGCATGCCGGAAGAGGCATCTGTTAACAACTGGGTGGAGTCATTTTGTGACCGATAAGCTACTTGTTTCGGGGGATTCACTTGTGTTTGTCAGAGATGAACGCAGTGATCTCCATGTTGGAATACGAAGGTCTAAAAAAAACGAAACGATGGTGGATTTAACTTTTCATCAAAGAGGAAACTTGGTATTGAAACTGGAATTTGTCTTAGACCATCATACGATAGACATCTTACTTCGTCTTTTGGAGAGTTGAGAATAAGTGATAAGGTGATGGGAATTGGTAAAGTGAAGGCTGAACATGTTATTGAAGCCGTAAGACTTGGTGTCAATATGCAACCGTTTGATGCGGTCTACTATCCTAGGGTTGGTACTCCCGAGTTTTTTGTTAAAACCTCTTTAATTAGAACAGCACGTCAGATTAGGTGGTGTTGTGGAATGAGGTTCAAGATGGTCGTGGAAACTGAAGACTCGTCAAAGACACATTGGTTTATGGGAACAATTTCTTCTGTTCAGGCTGCTGATCCAGCATGGCCTGACTCTCTTTGGAGACTTCTGCTGGGACGAACCTGATTTACTTACAAATACCAAGATGGTGAATCCGTGGGAAATCGAATTAGTATCGGACATGCCTTTGTTCCCTTTTCCACCTTTCTTGCCATCAAGTAAGAAACTGAGATCGACGCAACACCCAAGTTTCTCCATGGATGGCCAATTATCAATGCCAACTTTTTCGAATGTTCCAGTTACTAGTACTGCAGACATGTAGGGAACCAGGCTCTGATACCATGTTAAGAAATTTGGTTGGGCCTAACTCAACCCTACAAAACCGGTTGGTAGAGTGAGGATTGCCCTCACTTATAAACACATGTTCATGCCATATATTGTCCGATGTGGGACTCTTAACAAAATTCAAATAAATTATTAGTAAAAATAATCTTAAACAATTGAACACATAGTAAACCGCTTATTAAGAAGGTTAATTAGAGTTTTCCGATTTTTCAACCTCTAAAAAGTGAATCACCTTAAACATCAAGTTTAAGAAAACTTCCCCTTTAAAAAAACGACAAATCATGTTGTAAGTCCTTCTCTATGAATCGTTTGATCCAAAAGTTGCTTCAAATCAAAGATTGATAAATCCATTACAGACTTATCACATTAACTTGCTAAGAGGTTAAATGATCTTCACAAATCATCACAAATGTTGAAACCATCGTCAACAAGAATATTTTGATCGCGTTCATCGAAATACACCCTTAACGAGAACACCTTGATCTCATTTGTTGAAATATATCATTGACCAACATAATTAGAATATCAAGATCATATTCTACAAGCAAGACTTCTTCTTGTATACTTCATGTATACAATTGTTTTGCACGACTTTATTTAATATGCAATAAAACTTCATTAAGGTTGCAAAGCATTCTTGCAAAACAGATAAAGTTTTCATCTTTGGCACTCAAATTTTTTTTGGGTCTTCGTGTGTTAGAAGCTCTAAGAGGTATAAGATTATTACCTTTAGATCTTCTTAGTTTATCATAGCAAAATGACTTTAAACGGTCAAGCTTATTCCAGATATAGTATTTTTAGATAAGGCGATTTAATTTCTTCCTATTATAACTATTGTTATGTGATATACTTGATTTAAATCCTAATCCAATTTTATTTAAAGAAAATTTTTGATTTGACATAATCAAATATATGTTTTCTTTTTTCTTAGTAAATTTACTTAGGATTTCATGCAACTTTTTCGCTTCCTTTTTCATTAAGACACAAGTCTCACATTTATTAGTTTGATTTCTATTATTAGTCATCTCATATCTTAATGTTACATTACTATTTTCTAGAAACTCAATATAACCTTTAAGATCTAAGTTACTATTTTATATCTTATCATGTTCCTTAACTAAATTAGTATTTTATTTAAACAATTGATCATACGATAAAGTTGTTACCTCATAACTATCTTCTTTTTTTGAAACCTTTAAGCAAACATGTTCATCTTCTTCATTGAATGAAGTATCTTTGAAGATTCTACCATAGGTTAATTCTTCAAGGTTTTTCCTTATTGTTGAGTCTCTAAAGATATTGCTTGTTGAGACTTTTTTCTCGTTTATTCTTTCAAAGGTTTCACTGAATGAACTCTCTTCATTTATTGAAATATATATTCTCCTTGATGATATTTCTTCATTATCAGACGATAAACTTTCTAAAGATGGTTCGTCCATTAAAATTGTTCTTTCAAAAGAGACTACTAAAGCTAAGTTTTCTTATTCTTCTTCAAAAGAGTTCTTTATAGTTATTGAATGATCTTCTGAAATTCTTGAACTCATTCCTTCATCTTTTAATAGTTGAATCAACTCGTTGAATTTCTTAATCATTTCTTCCTTTCTAAATTTTTCTTGAAAAATAAAAAACATTTTCTTCTCTCAACTTAAGGATTGAATTTGATTTTTTATTCTAATTCTTCACTTAGATATTTATTAGGTGCGAATGTTATAGGAAGTTTTCCTAAATTCCCAATGATTGTATTTGACAGCCATAATAGATCCAAAATTGTTTTCCTAAATTCCCAATGATTGTATTTGACTTGACAGCCATAATAGATCCAAAATCAAAGGCTCTAGATACCAATTGAGATAGAAAATGAATTCTAGAGACAAACTCGATCAAATCCAAATCTCAAGAGTAGGAACTCTAATGATTTAGAATAGAATAGAGAATATAATATTGAAGAACTATTTGTTATATATTTAATATACTTATTAGAGGGTTATGCATAAGCGTTGGTAACAAATCTACCAATAATTGTATAAAAATAGGAAAAATAATAACTAATTTTACTAAAATAATAAAATTATTACATAAAAATAAATAAATAAGAAAACAACAACTAACTAAAATTATTTTTGTAACACCTTAAACATCCTTTACCCCAGTATGTTTTTCATGCTTCTTACGCCTCCTAGATGTAGCATATTTCCAGTCACCTTCCTCACGTCACTTCTCCTAGTCTCACTCTCTCGTTGGATGTTAATGGCATGATTTAGGCTAGGTATATTGAACTTATAACCCCACTCTGTAGTTATAAACAATGAGTCCAAGTGTCCAAGTGGCACTCAGCATCAAACATTTATTTTAGGATTAGTTTTGGAGTTGTAAGTTAAGCGGAAGAAAGGGAACTAAATATAATCCACTAAGGATTTATGATTAGTATTTTCTTTTCTAATATTATAAAAATGAAAGATTTTGAAAGAGATCAAAAATATAATTTATTTTTTAAAATTAAAAAAAAAAAAAAAAAAAAAAAAAAAAAAACCAATTTCTATCGCATTACATTGTTTGAATTGTCATACAAGTTAGCCTTGAATATCTTCTTCATGAGGTCATTGAAACTTCTCCAATTGTATGGATCGAAGTGTTTTTGAGATTACAACAAAAAACAAAAAACTGAATTACATATTTATATCAAATTGTAAAGAGAACATGAAAGGCCAGAGGTTAGAAGGATGAAGATAAATTAGGAACATAATCCCAGAGATTAGAAGGATAGCTTCATGATTTTAGGTGTGAAATAAGAGGATAAGGTTCTGAATCATAAGAGGATAAGGTTCGAAACCCACTATCTACTAACATCTTACAAATAATTAACATTATTCTGAAAAGCAAAAATAAAACCCCTCGGCCATGAATTTTCAGCAAAAGATGAGAGAAAAAGCTCACTTTCAGAGGGGAGAAAACCAGCTAACTTCCTGCCACTACATACTTACAGAAAATGATGAACTCTGGCAGCATGAAAGGCCTAAACATTCATGTCCTTCCCTGCAAGATATACTCTTCAAGATTTTAACAACTTAAATGTTAAAATGTTGAAACTCGACTTGATCTTACTTTCATGCAAAAGACAGGGTTGCACCAAATTAGCCAAGCCGAGTGGGATTCAGCAAGGCTATCCTCTCAAATGGAAAGAGTGTGATTAATGTGTCAGTTGATATAAATATAGAACTGAGCTTAGCCTTTTGAAGAAACTTTCGGAACATTGAAAAGGGAACCTTCAAGAACATATCTCTTAAGTTAAGGTCTTTCAACCTCCTTTACATGAATAATATCATCACGTGGATGTGATCGTTCAACCTCAACCATTACTTCATCCCCTATCTGTATTCCAACTGAGACCCAAGCAGAAGTTTGAAAGCCAACCTGCAAAAGAGCATTACCTTAGGTTATCTAAACACAGTCATGTATTGTGTCTTAGATCTTAAGTAAAAAGCATAATTAAGAAACTCCTTAGGAATAAGAATTGTTAAAGGTGTCTATTGAGAAATGATATTGTTTTTATTATTAGTATTTATTGTTTTGTTTTTTTTTAATTCTTGGTATTATCTTTTCTCTAATTAGTGGGATTAGTTCTTACTGTAGGGTATTTAATTAATCGGGTGCCATCCTCTGTTTAATGATGATTAGGTTCCTCGTTCTATGTTGTACCCTACAAATCTCTTATCTGTTGTTTCCTCTCGTGTCTTTGGGTGTACTTGATTTGTTCATGATTTTTTCCCAGGTTGTGATAAGATGTTTGTCCGTGCTATCAAATATGTTTTTCTAAGCTACTCTCGTGTTCAAAAGGGATATTGGTGTTATTCTCCTTCTAACACATCGCTTCTACACATCAGCAGATGTTACATTCTTTGAGGACATATCATACTTTCCAAATGCATATGTTCATGAAAACTGATTTAGATCAAGTCTTGCTTATTCCGTATTATGAGTCGGTTGAGTCCGGATTTGGATCACCTGCTGCCATCTCTCTACAGCCCTATCTCATGCTCTCTTTTTTTTTCCTATATCTCTCATCATTTTTCTCACTCATCTTTACCACTTCAATTTTTCTCTCTGAACACTTGCAAAAATAGAGTTGGACTGCTGCCCTGCAGCAGAGGATCCAATATCATTGAGTTCACTCACTCCTTTTCGTCTAGTCCATCCGTTGTGATAGATGAGTCTTCATCGCCGTTGAACCGGTACAGCATTACCAATGAGAGAGGGCTTGGGCCATGTGATTCAGCTCCTATTCCAAGCACCCCCACCCCCTGCTCTGGCCTCCATCTCCTGATTTGCCCATTGTCATTCGTAAAGGTAATCATTAAACTCCCACCCCTGCTTTGGCTCCATCTCCTGATTTGCCCATTGTCATTCGTAAAGGTAATCATTAAACTCGTAACCCATATCCTATTTATAATTGTGCGTCTTAACATCAGTTATCACCTACCCATTGTGCTTTTGTTACCGCATTTTGCATCTGTTTTATTCCTAAAACTATTCAGGAAGCACTATTCCATCTAGGGTAGAGGCAATGCATTACTCGATGAAATGTCAGCTCTAGAACCTAACCTTTACTTGGGAGCTTGTTCCTCTCCCTTTAAAAAATTTATTGTTGATTGTAGGTGGATATTTAATGATATGCTGGGTCTTAATGGACAGGTAGATCGATTGAAAACTCGCCTAATGGCAAAAGGATATACTCAAATTCTTGGTCAAAATTATAGTGATACTTTTTCTCCCGTTGCGAAGATGGCATCTGGTCTCATTCTAGCCATGACTGCCAAGAAACAATGGCCAAATAGGATATCAAGAATGCATTCTTGCATGGTGATTCGGAAGAAGAGATTTACATGGAGCAATCTCTTGGGTTTGTTGCTCAAGTGGAGTGTAATCGGGTATGTAAATTGCACAAATCTTTGTATGGGTTGAAACAATCACCTCGTGCATGGTTTGGAAGATTTAGTAAAGTGTTACAACAATTTGGGATGAACTATTGTGAATCAGATCACTCTGTTTTCACCAGATGCTTCTCATCAAATAAATATACTTCCTCCGATCCCGATCCTTTTTAAGCGTCACTTTTTACGGGAAAATCTCATTCATTTTTAAGTGTCATTTTAAAGTTCAAAATAGTATTGGTTGTAGTTTTGTCAAATTACTCCTAGTCATTTATATGTGAGAGAGAGAGAGAGAGAGAGAGAGAGATGAGAGAGAGAGAGATGAGAGAGAGAGAGAGAGAGAGAGAGAGAGAGAGAGAGAGAGAGAGAGAGAGAGAGAGAGATGAGAGAGAGAGAGAGAGAGAGAGAGAGAGAGAGAGAGAGAGAGA